TTCTTGTTTCGGGATTAGAAGTTTCTTCCATTCTTTATTCTGTAATCGAATTTATTAAATATTAATAACCTTTTTTTAATTAGTAAAGGTTTTTTTTTTATGTAGATGAGTAAATAAGTTATCGAAAAGATTGTTAGTTAAATAAGGGTATATTTTTTTTATACGTAATAGAGGAGAAGGAAAGTTGAAGTTGGTATATAAAAGGTAATATTTCGGCAAAACCACTCTCGAAGAAATAACTAATATAAAAAAAAAAAGTTGAGGAAAAGAAAAAAATATATATATTAATAATTATTAGAAGACCACGTTTTTTCTTGTTTCTAGTTAAAAAAAAAAAAGGTTGCTAACCGTGACTTTTTTTTTGATGTCAAAAAATGCGGGTTTTTTTTTTATTAGAGAATTTTTACCATTTGGAAATATTTAAAGAAAGTATCCTGTACAACTTGAACACAACACTACGGAGATATCTCTTAATAAATGCATTAAATCGGACAAGTTTTTTTTTTTTTTTTTTTTTATCACACGTACCTGCGGCTTTCGTTATTAAAAATATATATACATTATTATTAAATCCATAAATAAAACGCGTATCATAAGTAGCCATATCCACGATTAAAATCTTGTGAAAAAAATGGAGAAAACTTAATAATTACTTGAAATGGATTAGATGTAAACGAAAAGTTAGAAACGCATGCACAAAGCAGCGGTTAAATTATGGGCACGCAAACAATAAAATGAAAGCACGGAACCGAGCCACGAGGTAGGATTCTGCGAACGAAGAATTTTTATGGCACATACGTCGGGAAGCTTTCCCAAAATTAATCACGTCAGATGTGATGAAAAAGTCACGTTACAGATATCAAAGTGTTTCAGATTTGCATCAGTTGCATTACTATAAATTCGTAAACAGTCGGGCTGGGCTCAGATCTAACAATGGCTGCTAAGACAATAGAGTCACATTTTTGACAATGAATCAATGGATGATAACTTTTTTATTCGTTTCACCAATTCCGATTAATTCAAAATTCAAACATGCTTTGTGATGATAGACGACAAGTTTAATTGGATTTATTTCAAAGGTTAGTCTTTATTTTAATTAGGTAAAGGATTAATAACATATAAAATTGATAATATTAGTTGACCAAAGAGTTTTTGTTCGTCGGAGAAAGAAAGTTTACATCATTAAGCAGTATAGAACTGCACTCCGCAACATCAATATTTCACCGATGCACGGTACATAAATTTAAAGTTTCTTCACACTAAATAACGGACAATTAAAAAAAAAAGAAACAAAAATAATACACAAATTACAACTTGTAATGACAGAAGTCTGCAGTAATAAACTGAAGGCAAGTAACAAAAATGACTCTGGAGAATATGTATAAGGTATTTGTGCGAACCCCTAAAAATTTTTTGATTGGACACAAATCAAATTTTTTACGTATTATTGCATTTTTGTAAACAAATAGAAAGTTAAAATCAGTTCTGCAGCTCTGTAAGTACCAATAAATAAGTGACATATTGAATAATTCTCAAGGGTGGAATAATTTGATTGGTTTATCGATCGAATAAAACCATAATTGATTGTTGAGTTAAATGATTATCAACCGCTAATTGTGAACTCCGGGCTCCGAAAAGCCAAACTTGTGAAATTCATTCCAGATTCTCGAATAAAATAATCATTCCTCGGATCAGTAACGATCAGAAACGTTGGAGGATATGGTATCCTATTGTTCGGAGAGTGGAACACATTAAGCGGATGGATTAATAGAACACTCTTTATTCTATTTATTATTCTTATAATGTTCCTTCTTTCACATGTGGCTACTCTTTTAGGTTTTATTAGGTTTTATTAGTGTGTTTTGTGATACCCTAACACATCAACATATTAACACATTCTTGTGTTTTAAGTAAAATCCGAACTAGTGACCTAAGGCAGGCAGGATTGATCTGAATCGTAACGCTAAACTAAGCCAGATTATGAAATTATATATATATATTTATGTGTATGTATGTTGGCGGAGATAGTTTGACAGATCTGAAATTTGCTTATAATGTTTTAAATTGGGCTGACCAAGCCAAATGCAGTATGTACTTTTTTTTAAAAAAATACTAGACCAGGCCTAGGCCTGAAAAATGATCTTACAAGGTAATCACCAAAATTCCTGATCAGAAATCATCGAAGATACGCATGCATTACAGTAACGTTAACGTTAAGTATTATCAGCAGACTACCGCTATTTCTATAACAAAATTTATCAGTTGGACATTTTTCATACTGATACGTACGTACTTAATGTCTTTATTGTTATTGGTAACGATAAAATGTTGTTAATTTCGATTCGGCCGACCACAATTCCGACGAATTTCGACGAATTTCGACGAATTTCGACTCGGAATTTTGGGATCTACCTGTACGAGTTTTAAGCTTTACAGTGTAAGCCTAATATCCTCCTTTGGATTAGTAATTAATTATGCTTTTAATAGTTAAAAAAAAAACGAAGTTTTTTTTATAGTTGTGTGAACTGCTTAAAAATTTTTAGCCCAATTTCACTTTTGATACTGTATGCCTTTTTCAGGCATAAAATAAACGATCGGCATATGTGAATTTGTATTAGGATTCTGCAAGTTTCAGGCGCGGTACGTACGTACGTACTATTAAATCATAGTGCCAAGCACGGGCATGGGCTCTTTCAATAGTACTGCGCCATGTACTTAGTTTGTAAGAAACCTTAAGGATAGAGATCGCGAATAATGTCACCCGCGCGCTGTCTCGAATACGCCTATATCCTTATTTCGAGCCTAAGTATTTATATATTTGTTATAAATTTACTACGTAATGCAAATAATATATTTTATGAAATGCGCCATTTTAACAAATCTGATTTTCGAAATAACGCCCATGCCTATTATTTCACATATACTGATCTTGGTACGTAGTGTTGTCCTACAAATTTTATTATCTGTTATCTTATTTTATATTACGTATCTTCACTCATTTATCTCTTCATATTCAGCAAGTGTAAAAGCAATTATATATAAATGTACATTGAGATTTTGTACATCTATACTAAAATCTATACTATAAATTTGTTGGAAAAAAAGACGCTGACGGAATAAAACTAGAATCGTCAAATAATTTCACCACTTGATGAAATTAATTTCACCACTATTTGATTTCTATTCAAAATCATATCGTTAAGATGGATAAAATCCTAAAAACAGATGTCAAATAATACATCGTGTTATGGATTTCCTATTCTAATTACAGTCGATTCTCCTACGTACTGTACGTAAACGTATGATCCCTAAAATTCAACTCTAATAAAATTCTCTCTAAACGCAAGTCTTTTTGCTCAATGTAGTGTTATATGGACTTAACTTCTAAATGTAATTTCTCTTTAAGTGTACGTAAAACTTCACTCCTTTTTATACTGTATTAAAAATTTCAAAGTTGCTCTTGAGGGAATAGACCTTATCTACAAATAACAATAATGGAAAGACGAAAATTATTTTAATATACACAAAGTTTGTTACAAGATTATTATTACAGTAACAAACTATCAAATCATATAATATTATTGCATATTGTTATTCACCAAAAGGTTATATATATAAATGTTATTTTTCTCATTTTAATATAAAGAGTGATCATCGTTAACCTTAATAATTGATTCTAATCAATTTTTACTATAACGATAGGTAGTCACTTATGCCAAGTGTTAAATATTAAATGCAATAGGGAATAAAGTCTCCTACCGAAGGTATTTTGGCGTTCCGAAAGTGTAAATCAGAAAATTTTTAACAAAATCGTATGATCATTTACATCTTCGTATACTTATTCTTCGTACATGTTTATAATTGTGTTGAACTATATGTATATATGTATAATGCCTAGGGTACTATACATAATGATTTTTCATATGAAAATATGCCCCCAGGTATTTTTCTGTACTTTACATAGGGATAATACTGTCGTTATGGTCTGCACTGTATGGTACCTAATTTCATTCTGATTTTGACTTTTAAATACGTACTGTCAGATTTTCGTCGAATCAAAATTATTACCGAATTAATAACCGAATTAATAACAGTAATGTAGATGTATTCACATTCGGCACTAAACATTGTAGTAAATAATCATTTATGAAACTGTATGAATACTAATACTCATGATTACGTATCTTTTCAAACATTTCGTACAAAAAAAAAACCTCTTTTATACGTATCGATATAAAATTGTGACAAATTAATCAAATCTATTTGGTAAAACATTCATGTAACTCCCATGCAAACTTGCTTTTTTTTTTTTGAATAACAATACAGAAACTACTGTACTTCACCAATCATAAATATTGTCATAAATTTCGATTATTAATATTATATATATTGTAATATTATTAATATAAATAATATTATAAAACCCGATTTAACTTAAAATAATCATGTGGCTGTAAGTTGTAAATCAGTTGAAAAGTATATATATAAATATTGTGCCTTTTACTAATAATAATCGAAAAGTTTAATTTTACTGTTGTTTTCTTTTTAATATATCTTACATTTTTTATATATAAAAAAGTCAAGATGTCACCTAAATTTTTAGGAACTTTGGCTCGAGATATTGGAAACTTATTGAATGATGATTTAGATGAATATAATGTTATAATAGAAGTTGGTCAGTCTCCGAATTTTCAAATATTTCATGCTCACTCAATCATATTAAGGGCTAGGTCTCCTTATTTTCGAAGTGCTCTTTCGAAAAATTGGGCAAAAAAAGATGGTGATTTTATGACTTTTTCAAAACCAAACATTTCTCCAAAAGTTTTCGATATTATTCTTCAGTAAGTACATATTATAAAATACTTTGATTATTTTTATTTTTATTTTTATTACTATATGCATATGCATATATATATATATATATATATATATATATTCTACGATTATTCTTAACAATTAAATTATTTAATCATAGGTTTATTTATAGCGGAACCGTTTCTATGACTGACAAATCTGTGATGGATGCTCTTGATCTCTTGGTTGCCACTGATGAATTATTATTAACTGAATTGTCAGATCATGTACAAGATTATCTTCTTCATCAACAAAATACTTGGCTTCAGAATAATCTTATTGTGCTTTGGCAGAAAGTTCATCTTATTGAATCTTGTCGCAAACTTCAAGAGTACTGTCTTCAGATTATTTGTAAAAATCCTCTCTACCTTTTTGAATCTAATAAATTTTTGTCTATGGATTCTTCATTACTTGTACCTTTCCTAAAGCTTGATAATCTACAAATTGAAGAAGTTGAAATTTGGGATTACATCGTTAGATGGGGTGTCGCTCAAAATCCTCCTTTAGATATTGCTAAAATTTCAACTTGGACTACTGACGATTTTGATGCATTGGGTAAGACTATCGCTAGTTGTATACCACTTATTGGTTTCTCTCAAATTTCTTCGTCGGATTTTTTTGATAAGGTTTGGCCGTTTAGAACTATTTTACCTCCGGATATTTTGGAAGATATTATGAGGTACCATTTGAAACCTGCTTGTCCTCCACAACCTGTTGTATTGGCCCGAAGATTGCAATTTGATTCCGCGCTTATTAGACCTTGTCATGCTGCTTTGTTGGCAAGCTGGATTGATCGTCTTGGTCAAAAACGCTATCTTTATGATGAAATTCCATATCGTTTCCAATTGCTTGTTAGAGGAACGAGAGATGGTTTTGATTCTGGCACTTTTCATGATAAATGTGATGAAAAAGGTAGAACTGTAGTGGTAATGAAAATTCACGGTACTGGTGAAATTATAGGTGGTTATAGCCCAATTATGTGGATGGCTGGCGATGGTTATTGGAATACTGAAGATAGTTTCCTGTTTACTTTTGGAGATAGAGGTATGGTCGAAGATGCAAAATTGAGTCGTGTGTCAAGACAAAGATCTTATTATGCTATTCGATTCAATGGAAGAAGTTATGGCCCATGTTTTGGTGACAAAGATCTTTCTATGAAAGATAATTTCAATTTAGAAGGAAGTTGTTCGTGTCAAAAAGATGACTATTTAGATAGTGTTACCGATTCCACTACTTTTTCGGTTGACGATTATGAAGTTTTTCGTATTTGCAAAAAGTAATTATATATTTACTCTATTTTTGATAATTTTAATTATATACAATTACAACCATTTTCCTCAAAAACCATAGCGTACTTTATCATTAATCATTAAATTTTAAACATTACATTGGATAATAAAGAACAATATCTATTTATAACATCAACTTATTATATTATTATCATTATCAAACACTCTAGATAGGGTCGAAATTATTAATTTCTACATTCTTTGGTAGAAATTGTTGAAGTAATTTCACCAAGCATTTCACAATTTAAACATTCAAAACTATAATGTTATATAGATTTAATTACCTAGATTAATAAATTAATAAATTGATTTCTGTAAATTAATATAATTTATTATTGGGTGTATTCAAGTCTGGATTTATTATGATGATCCGTATGATGTATATATACGAGTGCCTTGGTTTTTCGATTTTTAAATCGATAGATAAATTGATAATTATAAATATTGGTACCGTAAACAGCCATATACAAGACCGGCCTATTTAATAAATGTGTAAAATCTTATATTAGTATAACCTTCACACTTTAACATTTTATAAATCTAAGATTCGGCTTAATAATTTAAGGGTAGAGTATACGTAGATCATTTATCATATGATATGCATGGCAATTTTTTTTTGT